ACCGTCGTGGATTTTCAAATGAAGTGGCCAAGAAAAAGCGGATTTCCTGTGCAAGCTTCAGTCCTTTGAAGAACGACCACTACTGGCATTCCCTGAACACTGGGAGTTCGGTCGTGGGTTCGTGCCTCGCCTGGACGGGCTGGCCACGTGGAATTTTCCGGGTTTTCTCCACGCTGTAACGCCTGAATAGAGGCCAGTTACTCTTAACAAGACCTCCCGGAAAGCGTCCTCTCCAGACAGATAGTCCAAGTGTTGCGTTGCTATAACTAAACTGAAAAACGTCGTGTAGGCAGGATATAACAAACCAGAACTCATCCGCTCTTTTATCCTGGGACCTACTGAAATCATGCATCATGTCCATACTCGACAACCCTGCGCCATTTTTGTCTATCCATATATTACAATGAAATAAATTCAATAGATTCCTACTTTAGGATTTCTAATTTTACAATTTCTTTTTTACTAATTGATTTGATTGATGGAGGCACTAGCACTTTGTTTTATCACAATTACGCCTATTACAATTGGGCCAGACCTTTAAATAGATCGACTAGCAAGAATGGGTACGCCATTATAGGTGAGGGACCTGAACTTTATTGTGCATAAATTATATGAATTTGAACTGACCACTGAACACTATTAGTTGGTCTCTGGTTCGCGCCCGAACAACGTGTTGGTCGCATGGAGTTTTCCAGGTTTTCTTCACATGAAATTGGCACGTCAGTGGCGTGCCGTCATTGGAAGTGGTGGAAGCGCCACTTCCCTTGTATTTTCTAAAAAATAAATACATATTAATTTTAATTATATGAAAATAACCGCACAATATTTTATTATAACCGCATTATGTATCTTATTACAAATTTCTATACTGCACGTGAAAAAAAAATAATAAGATCGCTATTGTATATTCGAATACTGTATTAGTGGCGGAGTGGAATCTCTGTATTGTCAGATTCCAAAAAGCCAGATTCGCGCACGCGCTTTACAGAGCACCAACCTCACCCGGTTTAGCCGGTGGAAGCCTACGACCTTGGGTCGATGCTACACATATAACGCTTCCAATTCTATCCGGGACCGGTTCTGGGCTGTTAGCCGCCCGCCCGCTAGATATTTGGCCGATTACGTGAATAACGAGTAGATTTATAACTTAACCCAACCGATAAGAATTTACTGGTATGTTTTTACGATAGTTCCGTATAGTTGA